TTTAATTAATTTTGGGTCTTCTCCTTCTTTTTGGAGGAGAGTAATATACGCCTCTCTCCATGATTCTGGAATTTTGGATTCTGTTAGGGCCTCATTATAAATTTCTAACAACTTTGGTAACAAAATTTCTCCCAAATCCGAATTTTTATAAAATTCCCCTGGAAGTCCATCTGGGCCTGGGGATTTGTTCTTTTTAAGTTTTGATATTACCATTCTTAATTCTGTCATCGTTATTTCTTTATTAAGTATTTCTTTATCCTCTTCCCCGATTTTTGGAAGACTTTCTTTTGACAAGTATTGGACCACCTTTTCATTAGGAATTTGTTCTTCCGCATACAGAGCCGCATAATACTCTCGGGCAATCTCCAATTTATCTTCCTGTTTATTGTTGAGGTGGCCTTCCGGGTCTTCCAATTGATGAATTATGCCTTTCTCTTTTTCTTTTTTTAACCTATAGGACAGCCACCTGCCCGGTTTGTTTGCATTTTCAAAATAATATTGTTTGGTTCGTTTCATTTTGTACGCCAATTCCTCTTGATCTATTACGTTTAATTTGTGCCGTATAACCATCCAATTTTCTTTAACATCCTTATTATCTGGTTTATGTTGTAGTTCCCTCTCGGCTTTCCCTAATTCTTCTATCAGTGCCTTCTGCCTCTCTCTTCTTTCCTTATTCCTGTGTGCACTATACGATATTGCTAGTCCTCTTACGTACGCTTTCATTGTATCCCATATGATACCTCGAGATGTTGCCTCCTTTTCATTTACTTCAAAAAATAAATTTAATTCTTTTTTTACTTTCTCAACATTTTGCTTGTCCTTTAGAAATTGATTATTTAATCTCCATCTTGTATTTCTTCTCTTGTGCGTACATTCCCATTTAACCTCTAATGGATTATGGTCTGCCCAAATGTTGGGCATGATTTCTGTTGACTTAATATCTAACCCTATATCTCTGCTTATCCACATCATATCAATCCTAGACCAAGATTTCTTAGGATTAGAATAATATGTATACTGCCTCTGATATGGGTGCAGAACCCGCCAAATATCCACTAGATTGAATTCTTCTACCATATCAAAGAATGGTTTTGGTAAATTTTTCCTCTTTTTCTTTTTACCTTTGGTCCCCTTATAATCTCTATTTGAATCTATTACCCCATTAAAATCGCCAATTATGCAAATCTTGCTCTTATCCATCATGCTTAATCTCTCTCCTAATTTTTTATAAAAGTCTCCTAGGTTTTCATTCGGGGCATAAATTGCTGTTAATAAGATTGGACAGTTGCCTCTTTTAACTTCCACCATTAATACCCTTCCCTTCGGGTCTGCATATTTTAGTTCGGCTTTTATTTCCTTCTTGATGTACAATGCTACTCCCCTTTTCTTTTTATCAGCTAGGGATGCATAAAGATTCCCCAATTTCTTATATTCCAAATATTTTTGATTTTCCTTTTTAATATGGACCTCTTGAAGGCACACTATATCCATATTTTGTTTAGCTAATTTTGTAAAAAAAAATTTCCTCTTTTTGTTATCGTTTAGGCCATTTACGTTAACCGATATCAATTTCCAATCATCCATCTCTTAATTTTTGTATACTATCCTAATACTTCTTGGCACGTGTGACTCTTTGTGGACTTTGGTCTTTCTTTGTCTCCTTACTATCCTTATCTTCCTCCTCCTTTTCCTTCGATATCCCTTCTTTCTCTCTTATCTGCTGGGTTACTTCTTCTTTCGATGTTTCCGCCTCTAACTCCTCTTTACTACTTTGATCCTCTTCAGACGCTCGTAATTGATCCAGGAACTCTTGAGCTGCTACTAAGCTATCTATCTTAACTTTATTCCCTTGCCATGTGATCCACATGCCTTCTGGTAAGATCCACCTGAAGAGAATATTCCTTTTGTTTAATTGAGTAGCCAAAAACCTATAATCTCTCCTTATCTCCCTTACCCTCCTTGGGATTTGTTTAAGTATGATCACCTCCTTTCCCTTATACATGATTGGCTCATCTCTTGCCACACTATAGAGGATATCCTTTACCTTCTTCCTTGCGAATCTTATATGCACCTCCCTTGGCAATTTGTTTCTTCGTGCATAATTTGTCTGGACCCTGTACGCCTCGTCAATTTCCTTTATAATATCCAATTTATCTTGTTGCAACACCCCAGCAATTAATTCTGCCATCACCTGGCACAGATCTTCTTCCTTATCTTCCGCAATGTTTTGGAAACGGAGATAGAAGGAGGCTCGATCCATTTCCAATTGGATAATTGAGTCTGCCAATTCCCTGTTCTGTTCCATCAGTTTTTGGTCAACCGTATCTAATTTTTTTTCCTGTTGTTCCATTTTAACTTCCATCTTTTTAATCTTCTGTGTATTAGTTTGTATCAATTCCTGTATACCAATCATTTTTTGATCTAATGCCCTAATATCTGTCTTCAATTCAGTATGATTACTAGACATTTTTTCTTGTAACATAATCATCGTGTCCTGTATTGCTGTCAATGTTGATTGCATTGCTTGCATTGTGGGTAGCATTCCTGATTTCTCCATTTTAGAGAAACCTTCAGTCAATTTCTGTGTAGCAGGTGATGTCGTTGTGATCGTGGGATTTGAGGATGTTTTCTTTCCTGTTTTTGTCACCGTGGATGAGAAGCTCATCTCTTTTAATATCTTTTTCTGTTTTCTTGTTATATTTTCAATGTTTTTCCAAATTGTCATCCACCAATATTTAACTGCCTCTATCAAATGAATTTATATTAAATCGTTCCCTTCCGTTCCACTATTCAATATTGTTTAGTAATACAATAAATCAATAATTCAAATTTTTATCTATTGCACAAACCTATCTTGTAATAAGTCACTTATTGATCAATTAATAGTTAAACTAATTTGAACTAAGATAACCCTCTCACCTGCTACCACTACTTAAGCAAATTATCTTTACCTACTCTTATTTAACACTTAAGCACTGGTGACTTTCTAATATCTCTTGAGCAATCTAAGTACACATATAAATAATTAATTATGCAATCTCAATATTCAATATTCAATATTTTAAGTTATAAAGAGCTAATCAAAATTAAGAATCAATAATTGAAAGAAGAAAGGAGGAGAAGAAAGGGAAAAATCCAATTATAGAATATAAAAGATTATAGCGTATATAAATTCCTTAATAAAAAATCTAAAAAGTACTTAATAAATTTTAAATAAGTTCACAATTAATTTAGATTATCTAAAATGGAATATGTAATATATATAATATTAATATAGATATATACTTATAGATATATAAATTTTCTAATGTTTTTTTTTCTTGTTGTTGTTATTTGCCCAACTCGTTGATTAATTAATTGATTAGTTGATTAATTGCTCAATAACTTCTCTCAGTCATAAAAGAGCAGAAGGGAAAAGCAACCAAAAAATATAAAAAAATTCTTTTACAATGATGCAGCAGGCACGCTTTGCTGTATGATCTGCTTCGCGTTGCTCTTAAGTTCAATCACTCTCCATTTGCATTGTCATTCAGATTTCATCAGCCACGTTATCTTCCCCAAGTGCTCCTCAGTCTCTCAGCTCGAGACAATCTTACTGTTAGTCCTGACAGCTACCGCACTTCCAAAATCCAGTTCCTTTATTCAATTAGTCTATTCCACACTCTTAACTTTCCAAAGTTTGTTTGCTCGAAACAAAGTATCAATCCAATCCACTGAAGGCTCCGTCTCCCTTTCTAAAAATGTCCTCAGTCTCACCAGCACGTCTGCGATTTCATCTCCCACCAATCTCCTCCAACCTCACAATCGCCGCCAATTCCTTCCAGGATCCTTCTTATCAGACGCAGCCAGCACAATCCAATTGAACTCACTCCGAGCGTGTTTAAGGGAGAGTAGTACGAATGATAATAGGCACCAACTTCACCGAAATCTTCTTGCTTCCTGTCTTTTGTTGGCTATCACAGCTTCAAGTCTGCCATTTAAAGCAGACGCGCCGCGTTAGTTTGACAGCGGTAGTCGGTCCAGCAGAGAGTGCTTGCTCCTCACCGCTCTGCCTGCTGACACCCCGCTATCGTCCGCGGAGCTCTCCAAGCTCCCACGCCTCAAAGGGACCCCAAAACACAACAAAAAAGTGGCACTGCAAGCAGCGATCGCTGTCACAGCGCCATTTCGCTGGGATTCACCAACCGGAAGTCTATTTTAACTCTATTTTTAACTGTAATGTTATGTATAGATGTTTTTATTTTGGCTGTTCACCGCCCTGAGTCTGAAAGGAGAAGGCAGTATAGAAATTTGAATATTAAACAAATAATAAATAAATAAATATTGAGATTATAGATTTTAGGATGGAAAGACATGCTTATTTGAATAACACCAGTGGTGAAATCCAATTTTTTTTTACTACCGGTTCTGTGGGCGTGGCTTGGTGGGCGTGGTGTGGTGGGCGTGGTGTGGTGGGCATACAGGGGAAATATACTGCAAAATCTCCATTCCCACCCCACTCTGGGGCCAGCCAGAGGTGGCATTTGCCAGTTCTCCATACTGCTCAAAATTTCTGCTACCGGTTCTCCAGAACCTGTCAGAACCTACTGGATTTCACCCCTCAATACCACTCTCTGTAAGACTTGTATAATATTATGACACAAGTGGAAAGAAAAACACCCTAAACTCACATTCGGTTCTTAATGAAATTTTGATTCTATAAGTGGCTGGGAAATCCTGCAATGGTTAATGAAAATTGAAGCATTAATCTTTTCTAAGCAAAAATTCTTCAGTTCCATGCTAAGCTAAATAATAGCTATTGCACATCTTCTTTATTATGAAGTAAATAATTAACTTTTCCTTAAAGAGTCCAAATTACTATAATGGGTTTATCTGCTTAAAGCTCCAGAGATTTTCAGGAAAGCAGTGAAACTAGAATGCATGGCTGAAAGATGCTGTAAATGAACTCTGGTTCCATGAAGAGCTTGAGGTTGTGGGAAGAGTCAAACAGGGCTATTGAGTTTGTTTCCTCCAGCATCAGTTCTTTCTTTTATCAGACCAATTTCAAATTTGGGTTGTAGAAATCTCAGTCATTCCTTATTTCTGTATCTCCATTGAAGTTAAAGATTTAGATTGATGCTTTTCTCTTAGGTGGCGTGTTGGGAAAATCCAGGATGCTAAGTCAGATCCATTGGTGTGGGTTGATCTGTTGGAGACCTCTTTTAGAAGATTTTTTAGCAGTTGATGCACTGTTCTTTCTGATGTTCCCCGTGATCAAAATGAATGCACTCAAGTGTCCAGAGGTTGATCCTTTTCCAGTTCCACATGAATGGTACCAACCTGGTGATGTCCTCATTGGAGGGATGTCTTCACATATCATCTATGCCTTCAGAGAGCATTTATTTTATGAACATCCTTCTCGGGAGCTCTATGGACTTTCAGAGTAAGCAAATCTCATACCTTTCTTCACCTAATGATCGTTTCTAGATATCTACATCAGTTTCTTTGACTCACAAGGGTCTCAAAGAAGGCAGATAAAGTCACAAGTCAAACCAAGCATTTCTTGATTTTTTCCCCCTGAGATTTCAGATTTTATGCCTCTATGGAAATGAGGGAGTCTTTATATTATTTTGAAAAAAGTGGTACAAATATGAATTTGAATATCTAAGGGACACCTAGATTACTAATGTGAGACAGCATATATAGCTCAGGTATAATCAAAACAATCTTTCATGATATCTAAACTTGGTTATTTCATGCAGATATTTTATTATCAGGTTAGGTAATAAGTTTAGTGTTCTGAAAAGCATTGCAAAGCTTTTAATATGTTACCTACTTGGAAGGCAAAATATTTGAAAGGGAACAATCAAGCTCAGAGAGCACCACACATTTCACAATACTTAGAATATAAATACATAAAGTAGGAATTCATAATATAAGAAGAAAATGTTCAGAAATGATCACTCATCTCCATAAAAGCAATGCAAAAATGGAAAAACGTTCTTTACAATTAACACATTTCCTCAGAAAAAGGAGGAAATGGAAGAACAAAAATGGTTAAAGAAGATTAAAATAAAGAAGCGGAATAAGTTTAGTTTCCTCTCTATGAAACAGAACACAACATTGTTCTCATTGGCCAATAATAGACAATCTAAAAAGATAAATTACTGTATTGTTTAATGAATGACTTCCATGATACTTTGAAACAGTATAAAGGGAATTTAATCTTTTAAATTCCGATCACAGGTACAAATGGCTATTCTTGGTGATCAATTAATTCATTCACTTTCTAAAACGAAACATTCTTTACTTACAGTCTGATTACAAAATTCTACCAACATCTCCTTTCCTTGGCCTTTGCTGTCAAGGAAATCAATGAGAATCAAGAAATCTTGCCCAATATTACCCTTGGGTTCCGTATTCATGACAGTTACTATGATGCAAGGATGACTTTTCGGACTACCCTGGACCTGCTCTTCAAATCAAATAGATTTATGCCCAACTACAAATGTGGACTTCAGACAGATCTCGTGGCCATTATTGGAGGACTTGGATCAGAAACTTCATCCCATATGGCAGATATTGTAGAGTTCTACAAAATACCACAGGTGGGTCCAGGGATGAGGAAATTTCTCTAGTTCTTAATTAGTTAAGAGCCTTCTTAAGAATTTATTCTTGTGTCTTTGTCTCCACAAAAACATGATTGTAAGGAAATCTCATTCCATACTAAGCAAGACATTGAAAATTGAAGTTAACTTGTACTGGTAAAGACAGATTTCAACTTGCTGGTATTTGATCATCTTCCAATTAGAAAAATAATAACAGAAATTAATTTACTGCATTTTCAACCCTGTGGTACTGGAAACTAATTCATGAAGATGAACAGTTGGAAGAAAATCTAAATCACCTGTTGAATTTTTTTTGGGGGGGGGTTTTGTTTTAGCTCCCATATGGATCCTTCCCCCCAAAAGAATTTCATATCAGTAAGTTTTCTTCTTTTTATTTTATGGCACCAAATGAACGTCTTGTATACATTGGGTTTATCCAATTGCTTCAACATTTCGGATGGAAATGGGTTGGACTCTTTGCTGTCAAAAATGAAAGTGGAGAACACTTTTTGAAGAAGCTACAGGAGATGCTTTCTCGGCATGGAATCTGTCCAGCCTTCATACAAAGAATCCCTCCGCAGCTTTCATTGGATGAAGTCCATACATCCAATGATGTAATTCAAAGTTTTTATATACATTTCACAGACATGAAAGCAAACGTATTTATTCTCTATGGAGAGTCTTATACACTTCTCTGGATCATTCCTCCCATATTTTTAAGTGATCCTGAAGATAAATTAAACATATCCCTTAGAAAGGTATGGATCACAACAAGTCAAGTGGACTTCATACTAACAGCAAATCTAAAGACTTGGAATCTCCAATTGTTTGATGGGGCCATTTCTTTTCAGATACATTCAGGTGAAGTTCTAGCCTTCAAAGAATTTCTGAAGTCTATAAAACCCTTTTGGAGACAAAGAGATGGATTTCTAAAAGGGTTTTGGGAGCAAGCATTTGACTGTTCCTTGTCTAATTCAGAAAAACCAACAATGGACATGGAAAAATGTACTGGGGAGGAGAATCTGGACAGTCTTCCTGGTACTCTCTTTGAAATGCAAATGACAGGTCATAGTTATAGCATCTATAACGGTATCTATGCTGTGGCTCATTCTTTGCAGGCTTTACTATCAAAAAAATCCAGTCAGAATAAAATATGGGTGAATAAAATCCCAGAAGCTCAAGATCTACCACCTTTTAAGGTAAAGTTGTCCAAGAAATGTGAAACATTTACTAGAAAGTGACTTGGATCACAAAATGAGCTGAAGCATGTTTTCAGACACAATATATCATTCAAATAGCTATGATTAAATCAATCAATCAATGATAAATACGTAAGGAAAGTACTATTCTTCTGCATTCATTAAATCCTACCACTGGGTTCCATTCCACTTTCTAACCAAGAGGACGATGTGAAATACTATTGACAGTAATATATTGCCTTTTTATATCCATGAAAATGGAAAGCAGTGCACTCATTACTGTATATAATGATACTCTCCATGTTAATTCTTGATTATTGTCCCATCAAGCTGCATACAGAAATTTGCAAAGAAAGGAAAATGTTTTATAGAATGTTTTATCCCACTATATTTTAAACTTCATCTTCCTCCTCCTCCTCCTCCTCCTCCTCCTCCTCCTCCTCCTCCTCCTCCTCCTCCTCCTCCTCCTCCTCCTCCTCCTTCTCCTCCTTCTTCCTCTGTAGCTGCACCCATTTCTTCAAAGCATTTCTTTCAACAACTCAGCAGGAGAATCAGTGTCCTTTAATGAGAACATGGAAATTGCAGAAGGATTTGACATCAACATGATCACCTTTTCAAACAAATCCATCCAGAGAGTGAAATTTGGAAGATTAGATCCCAATGCTGCAGATGGAAATGAATTGATTATGAATGAAAATTTGATTGCATGGCACAAAGATTTAAACCAGGTATGGGTATTCTTGAATGGGTCAGATTCCTGCATACATTTTCCTTAAAAAATGTATCATGTTCCTCCATTATACCCAGTGAAGAAAAACTTGGTGAATCTCTTTGCAACTTTTAAAAAATGTTATTTATGAGGTATTCCAGTTTCTTATTGTTTTTTTTTTTTTTTAAGAATATGCATTTCAAATGCCTCTAGGCAATTCTTGAATGGCACAAAAGTTTTAATGAAGAATGGACTGCAAGCATGTGGAATGTTTATATTTTGACATCTTCCTTAAACAATGAAAGAAATAGCTTAAATTATCTCCAAGGGATCTCTGCTGGCCAATAAGATGATTAATTGCCTCTATTTTCAAATGATTAAAAACTCGGCAACTAATGGTGCAACATTTTTCATGTTATGAACAGGTTCTTCCAGTTTCTCTGTGCAATCAATACTGTCATCCTGGATCTTGGAAGAGACAATCTGAAGAGAAAAGCTTTTGCTGCTATGATTGTATGCCGTGTCCACAGGGGAAGATTTCTACCAAGATAGGTCAGTTATGAAATCCTTCAAATTTTGGAGACAATGGCTGCAAACAAATTGTTTTGTCAAAAATTACAATTTTTCTATTTCTTACTAAAGGTGATGTTTTTCACCCTCTAAAGCAGGGGTGTCAAACTCAAGGCCTGTCACGCCCACAGTGACCATGGCCACCCCGGGCCACACACACACACAAAACCCTCTGAGTTCAAACACAACCCTGATGCCGCCCTCAATAAAATTGAGTTTAACCCTGCTTCAAAACAAGGAACAAAGGCAATCCCTATAAACCTCAGTTATTAATAATCTCTCATATTTGAGAATACTAAGATACTTCGCAAGATCCCAGCATTCATATATCCAATCTTTTCTCATATGACATTTTTGCCTGAGAATTCAAAATCCAATCTATTTTATTTATTTATTTAGTGTATGGCTGGTCACACACAATATTAAAACACTTCATTTTTACAGGTTAAAACAATTAAAACAATTTTTTTAAAAAGCAGTAAGAAACCTAAGTGGAAAACAGAAATAACATTTCAGAGTTTAATGTTGAGTTTGGAGATCTAGTCAGTAGCTGTCATTGTTATGCAGAGGAAGTCCCTAAAATCTCCTGGATACCTTCTGTTAGAGCATTCCCTCACTATATGTTGGATAGTCTGTCGGGGGCTCCCGCAATCACATTGTGCTGAAGGTGACTTTCCCCATTTATACAAGGAGTCGGCACACACCCCATGAGTCGTTCTAATTCTATTGTATGTCACCCATATGTGTTGGGGTAAATTAAATCCTGGAGGTATACTATTAGGATTAATATGCTCAGAAATATCTTGGGGGGAATAGCTACTCCACGCTTCCATCCACTTTTCCATCGAAGAGTTGGGGCTGAAGCTCCCCAAATTGTTCCACATAGTTTTTGTAGAATGTTATTTCTGCTGTTAACCTTGGAAGCCATATTCTGAATATGTTTTTAAAAAGACAGAGTCCTGTCAAAGTTGTAAGGTCGGCTGTAAGTACGCCTTCTGTAGCTTCGATGTCCTTGTGGCTATATGCTAATGCCAGGTCATCAGCATAAGAGAACTTTGTTGATAGCATGGGTGGTATATTAGAGTAAATAGAGATGGGGCCAGCACGGAGCCCTGAGGGAGTCCGTTATTCAGGTGTCTTTGCTTACTGATTTTGTCACCCATGATGACTTGAAAGGTCCTTGCTGAAAGCACGTTATTTATTAGGCGGCCCATAGTCCTACAGGGGACAGCGTGGAGGAATTTGCTTAATAGGTCCTCCCTCCATACTGTATCGTATGCTGCTGTGAGATCCACAAATACAAGAGATGTTTTCAATTTATTCTGTTAGCTGCTTTCAATATGGCTTGAAAGACTAAGGACCTCATCAACACAGCTCTGATAAGATCTAAATCTAAACAATCTTTTCTCATATGACATTTTTGCCTCAGAATTCAAAATCCAAACTATTTATTATCTCACCTGCAGGCCAAAGTATACATAGTGACCAAGGTCAAATTTTGGCCCAACCATCTTTTATATGGTGGTCATCCAAAGCATTGTATGACACTGTAATAGAGAAAATTGAAAACTATCCGCTTAACTATTGTAAAATTGGCTTAAAAAGTGTAATCATCAATATTGAAGAGAGGGAAAAAGAGATAGAGAGGGAGAGGGACTGCAACCCACCTTATTTTCTAAATTTCAGAAATTCTGATTGGAATTTCTGAATTTCTGACAAGGTCATGGCTAAGTAGGATTGGAAGGAATGTCAGTCTTCAAACAATATTATAGAACATATTGGAAAGAAATAGAAAGTAAATGACTTTCTTTTTGATCTTTTTATCCAGATACAGAAGATTGTTTCAAATGTCCTGAGGATCAGTATCCAAGTCAAGAGCAAGATCGATGCCTTAACAAAACAATGAGTTTCCTGTCCTTTGAAGAACCTTTAGGGATCAGTCTGGCCTCAGCTGCTGTTTCCTTTTCCTTCATGACAATCAGTGTGCTCAGAATTTTCCTTAAGCATAGAGATACCCCCATTGTCAAGGCCAACAACCGGGACCTCACTTACACTCTCCTCATCGCCCTTCTCCTCTCCTTTCTCTCTTCCTTGTTATTCCTTGGTCAGCCAGGGAAAGTAACCTGCCTTCTCCGTCAACCAGCATTCAGCATCATCTTCTCAGTTGCTGTTTCTTGTGTGTTAGCTAAAACTATTACCGTGGTTGTAGCTTTCATGGCTACTAAGCCAGGTTCTTCAATGAGAAAATGGGTGGGGAAAAGATTGGCTCTTTCCATTATCCTTTCTTGTTCTTTTCTTCAAACAGGTCTTTGCATTCTGTGGCTGGCAACATCTCCTCCATTCCCTGAGTTAGACATGAATTCCCTTATAGAAACCATGATTTTGCAATGCAATGAAGGCTCCATCTTCATGTTCTATTGTGTCCTGGCCTATCTGGGCTTCTTGGCTATTGCCAGCTTCATTGTGGCTTTCCTTGCCCGTAATTTACCTGACAGCTTTAATGAAGCCAAGTTCATCACTTTCAGCATGTTGGTTTTCTGCAGTGTGTGGATCTCCTTTGTTCCAACTTATCTGAGTACCAATGGAAAAGCCATGGTGGCTGTGGAGATCTTCTCCATCTTGTCCTCCAGTGCTGGGTTATTGGGATGCATCTTCTTCCCAAAATGCTTCATCATTGTTCTTAAACCAGAACTAAACACTAAGAAAGGACTAATAAAATGAAGTTATTGTATAATGGGCATGTTATATTTTTTCCAACAATACTGAGTTTAAATGAGATGGCGATATACAGTTAAGAATTAATTAAATAATGTCAGAGTTTATTTATTCATTTATTTCTTATGGCATATATCGGATGAGCAATGTTTCTCAACCTTGACAGGTTTAAACTATGGACTTTGACTCCCAGAATTCCCCAGTCAAAATATAAAACACCAGAACAGTGAATTATTTTGAAAATGCAGAATATTAATGATGAATAAAATTATGAGAAAAAATTAAAATATGTTTCAGCAGTTATTAAAGTAGTTAAGCCTATGGCCAGATATCCAGATCATTTAGACATTAGATAGCAACATCCTCAAGATGATGCAGTTCATGCCGGTAACCAGGGAACCTCCAGTGGGGCATTTCCTCCCAATATGATGGAAAGTTTCCAGGACATTTTCACAGTCACATTTAGTCCCCATTTGGATTTCCAATATTGATACCTGCCATTGTCGGTTTGGATCTGAATGAGTGCTGTCTATTTTTCCCTTGGAAGAACAAAGCCAGAAGGGTATTGAACTGTATCAGATAATAAATGAAATGGAACTGGTTAGAAGTGGCCCATTCCTGGCAACTTACTGTCTCAATATCAAAGTCTATCAATTAATATTAATTAAAGATTAATTGCTGTCCAGGTTTCCATGGTGGATTACAAGATCTGAGTCTGAATATTTGATCATGATAATCCTCATGTATGGGTAATAATCAGATTTGCCTCACATTTTTTTCCACTCCCTTTTTAAAACTGTCTTCTAAGGTGTGTGGATGGTGTGTTAGATAGTACTGGCCATTTGGCCATAACTCCTGCCATTAGCCTCATGGTTTGGATAATGTGATGACCCAGGATGTGGCACAAAGGCAACACAGCCAGAAAATAATTACAAGTCCCTTTATTAGCTCCAAATTTTTCCCTCAATGTCCCATTACTCTCCAGCCTAGAGAAAAACCCTTCCATAAACTTGTAAGCATACAAAACTTCCAACCATAAATCCAACAGGGCAAGATAAGGTAATTAAACCGGCAGGGTAAGCAAGATAAGGAATTTCAGAATTGAAGTAGCACGGCGGTAAATTAAACCAGTTGGGAGGATGCCAGGAACTCAGATAAACACACGATGAACTCAGTGTTTGTTCCCGACTCTTTTAAACTCCAGCTCCAGGTGTATCTTGTGAAGGAGATTGGGGCCCTTTCCTCCCTCATAAGCCATGCAGCCCCCATTGCTCTCTTTTCCATTCTTCCCTGCGTGCCCTAGGATGAGGAGGAGGTGGGGTTTGATCTTCATCGGAACCCCCTCTCCCTTGTTCTAACTCTCCTCTGCTCTGCCTAGCCTGAGTTTGCTCTTCCCCAGTTTCCTCCACAGCCAATGGAGCCACTCTCTTGCTCGCTATCAGCTGTTCCTCTTCCATCTCAGAGTCAGACTCTGACAGGGACATGACAGATAAGCTGGGTGTCCACTGCTATTCTGTGAACACTATTTATTCATACAGGGCTGCAATACTCAATCCTCAAATACAATCGATCAGAGTAGAGCTGGAAGGCACCTTGCAAGTCTTCTAGTTCGTCCCACTGCTCAAGCAGAAGAACTTATACTCTTTTGGATAGGTGGGGGTGTCCAGTCTTTTCTTAGAAACCTCCAGTGATGAAGCACCTATAACTTCTGAAAGGCAAGCTGTTCCACTGGTTACTTTTCCTCACTGTTAGGAAGTTTCTCCTTAATTCCAGGTTGATTCTCTCCTTGATTAGTTCCATCCATTGTTTCATGTCTTGCCTTCTGATGCTTTGGAGAAATAAGTTTGGAAAAATAAATAAGACACCCCCCACCCTTCTTTGTGGCAGCCTTGATAAGATAAAGAAAATCCTGAAGTGTTGGATAATATTTTTTCTCTTAAAATCAACTGTGAACAATAAAGAGTTCCGACCAATGCCCTAATGAAATCAGGAGCCTCAAGCAAAGTTTCAAGAAAAAATCCAGTTGTTTATTAGGAGGGTCATGTTGACACGAACCAAGTGAAGCCAACTCTGATTTCACTCAATTTGCGCCTTCCCTTTGACACTGTTTCCCCCTCCCCCTCAAGGTGTGTCATCAGTCACATTCCCCAACGAAACATTTTTGCGGGTCATAGAAGTCACTCCCTCCGGTTGTTACTAGATTCTGTGGAGATGGCCTTAACTTTGGCTGGCTAGGATGTGTTTTGTTTTGACTGAGGTGCAAATTCCTCAATGCAGCTGTGAGGCTCAATTCCTCATCCCCCTGCCTATGGCAAGAAAATCCCCCCCCTTTTTTTTTCTAGCTCCCATATGGATCTTTCCCCCAAAAAGAATTCCATAGTAGTAATTTTTCTTCTTTTTATTTTATGGCACCAAATGAAGGTCTTGTATACATTGGGATTATCTGATTGCTTTGATGTTTTGGATAGAAGTGGATTGGACTCTTTGCTGTTGAAAATGAGAGTGGAGAACACTTTTTGAAGAAGCTACAGGAGATGTTTTCCCAGCATTGAATCTGTCCAGCCTTCATGCAAAAAATCCCCCTGATGCTTCCATTGGATGACATCCATACATTCAGAAATGTACATACATTTCACAGACATTAAAGCAAACATATTTATTCTCTATGGACTTATAGTTTAGTTTAATTTAGTTAATTATATTTGTATACCACCCTTCTCCCGAAGGACTCGGGGTGGTGAACAGCCAGCAGATAAAATACAGAAAATACAAAAATTAAAACAATATTAAAAACCAATTAAATTAATTTGGCCCTCAGTTAAAACACCCACATATTAAAACCCAAATTTAGCAATTTAAAATTAAAGCAATTTAAAAAGTATGGTCAGGTCAGCCCGGCTTGATGAAACAAAAACATCTTTAAGGCACGGCGGAAAGTGCGCAGATCCAGGATCCGCCATATCTCCAGGGGCAACTTGTTCCAGAGGGTAGGTGCCCCCACAAAGAAGGCTCTCCCCCTGGGGGCCGCCAGCCGACATTGTTTGGGCCACAGCACCCTGAGGAGCCCCTCTCTGTGGGAGCATATTGGTCAGTGGGAGGCTACTGGCTGCAGAAGGTGGTCTCGTAAATACCCGGGTCCTAAGCCATGGAGCGCTTTAAAGGTGGTTATCAATACCTTGAAGTGCACCTGGAAGACCATTGGGAATCAGTGCAGCTTGCGCAGGAGAGGTGTTACATGGGAGCACCGAGTTGCCCCCATCACCACCTGCGCGGCCACATTCTGGACCGGGTGCTCCTCAAGGGGAGCCCCATGTAGAGAGCATTACAGTAGTCCAAGCGGGACATGACGAGAGCATGAGTGACCATACGTAAGGCATCCTGATCCAGAAAGGGACACAACTGGTGGATCAGGCGAACCTGATAAAAAGCCCCCCTGGCCACGGCTGTCATATGCTCTTCCAAAGACAGCATGCATCCAGGACACCCAAGTTGTGAGTCCTCTCTGTGGGGGCCAATGACTCACCCCCAAAAGTCAGCGATGGTACCAACTGTGGCCGGAAGCCACAGCCACTCGGTCTTGGACAGGTTGAGCCTGAGCCTGTTTCTTCCCATCCAGATCCGCACAGCCTCCAGGCACCGGGACATCACATCAAGGGCATCGTTGGGGTGGTCCAGGGTGGAAATGTACATCTGAGTATCATCAGCGTACAGGTGACACTTCACCCCAAAACCATAATTATACAATTCACTGGCTCATATTGACCATATTTATAAATAATCCGGACAGTGGTGAAATCCAAATATTTTTATTACCGGTTCTGTGGGCGTGGCTCGGTGGGCGTGTTGTGGCTTGGTGGGCGTGGCTTGGTGGGTGTGGCAGGGGAAGGATATTGCAAAATCTCCATTCCCACCCCACTCTGGGGCCAGCCAGAGGTGGTATTTGCTGGTTCTCTGAACTGCTCAAAATTTCTGCTACCAGTTCTCCAGAACTTTCAGAACCTGCTGGATTTCAGCCCTGAATCCAGAAGATAAATTAAATGCATCCCTTAGGAAGGTATGGCTCACAACAAGACTTGGAATCTCCAATTGTTTGATGAGGCCATTTCTTTTCAGATACATTCAGGTAAAGTTCTAGCCTTAAAACAATTTCTGAAGTCTGTAAAACCTTTTTGGAGACAAAGGGATGGATTTCTAGAAGGGTTTGGGAGCGAGCATTTGATTATTTCTTGTTTAATTCAGAAATACCAGCAATGGACATGGAAAAATGTATTGGGGAGGAGAATCTGGGGAGGAGAATCTGGACAGTCTTTCTGGACCTCTCTTTGAAATGCAAATGACAAGTCATAGTTATAGCATCTATAACGGTATCTATGCTGTGGCTCATTCTTTTGTCAGAGTTTCAAGTAACACCCCCAACGAAAGAAGACTTCAAGTCCAGCAGTTCCTCATAGTTCCATTTTATTAAAGATGTCATATTGGCACATCTGGGAAGCTTCCAGGTTTTCCCCACCCAAAAGAAAGTCCAAGTCCCTTCCCCTGCACCCACATGTCCACGATGTATATATGGTCCAACTGGAGATGCCTCTCAGTAACGCCACTCCAGGTGCAGGCTGAATGTCCTTGATTCTCTGAGAAAGGAATGTTATTATGGCTAAATATCCCTGCTACTCCATGCAATCCCCCCTCTCAGTTTCCCAGAGCACTAAATGTGGCATCCCTGAAGAATCCAAGAAAAAGATGTCTTCCAGGGCTGACAGCTTTACTATCAAAAAAATCCAGTCAGAATAAAATGTTAGTGAATAAAATCAGTCAGAGTAAAATAATAGTGGATAAAATCCCAGAATCTCAAGATGTACCACCTTTTAAGGTAAAGTTGCCCAATAATTGTGAAAAAGTTACTAAAAAAATTATTTGGATCACCAAGTGAGCTCAACCATATTTTCAGGCACAATATATCTGTGATGGCAAACCTATGGCATGTGTGCCACAGATGGCAAGCAGAGCCATCTTTGTGGACATGCCAGCCGTTGCCCCAGCCCAGCTCCACCGCTGGTCTTCAGGTCTCTGCCACGCATGCACGAAGGGCAGGGTATATGCGGGGGATGCACACGCACATAAGTGGGGGGACAGGGCACATGCACAGGGGTGGTGGTGCCCAAATTGCATTTTGGGGTCTTGCAGAGCTAGATCTATAAATCTATCTCAGCATCTACTTCTGTCCTACTATCGCAGCACCATTGAGAGTGTCCTGACATACGGCATTCTTGCATGATATGGGAGCAGCTCTGTAGTGGACAAAAAAGCTCTACAGAGAATCATTAAAACTGCCCAGAATATCATTGGACTCCAGCTACCAGCCCTGGATGACATTTTCGAATCTCACTGTTTGAGAAAGTTACATAACATTCTCAACATACTCAGAGACTCTTCCCATCCTGCTGACAATCTTTTTGGACTGTTGCCTTCTGGCAGAAGATACAGAACAATTAAAACTCAGACCACACATTTTCTGAATAGTTTTTATCCCAGAGCTATAATTGCACTCAACAATGAACTAAAGGGCCACCATCAGTGAACTGTTGGACAGTATTACTTGGTCTGTTGTGTGGATGTTTGGGTGGTTTAGGGGTGGAGAATTGTGGTGGGTGGGAGTGTGTTTGGGATTGTTATGCGTGTTGGATCTGGTCTTTAGGTGTTAAGTGAATTTCATTGTATGGGTATACTGTGTATACACGTACAATGACGATAAAGTTATTTATTATTTATTAGCTTCCAGATTTATGCAGGAGGCTTTCCAGGCCCAAAACAGGGTACGGGGGGCACGCAAGGCCCCCAAGTGTTCCGTTTTGGCTTCCAGGTTGGTGCAGGAGGCCTTCCAAAATGGGGCAAGTCATCTTGATATATCCACAATTTATTTTTCCACAATTCCATGGAAAGGTTACAGAAAAACAATGTATACCAAAGCAAATTAAATTTTATATGTACATATATGGCAAGTTTATGTGTCAAATAAAGGATGAGACAGAAAGAATACATTTCGCATCACTTCATTTCACTACATTTCCAATATTTTTAAAATCAGTTAATAGGTCACAATGGAAATAGAATGATAACTGCTTGTAACCTACAAATTCAAACAATTTTCAAGATTCAGAAACTTTTTAAATTTTACATTTCAAAAGAACCTTAAACAATAGAAAACCGATATTCCATGATACTGTACCAAATACATGTTCATAAAATGTTAATCACCCTTTTACTATATTTACACAGTGGTTTATGAACAGAAAGTATAAAAACCATGAAAGATTTTGGATATCCTTTGAATTAATATCTGAAATCTCCTAATAGTATCCGAGAAATCTAGATTCTCAAAATCTTCTTGAGGTGAAGCGTTGAAAGGGTGAGAGGAGTTAGGTTAAACAATCTCCAAAAATATTTGAAAATGCAGCATCATGAACACTTCTTTTTGAATGGATGACATTATAACCTTCCAAATATCCTCCTTTCACAGAAATAACTTCTATATGTTTTATATACACAGCAAATAGACTTTTTTATTCTTCTTTGTTAGTATAGCAAGAAAAAGTGTTGTACTAAAGAAACACTTAAAGAAACATAAAGAAAAAGTATATGATGTACTAAATCCTCTTTATTAGTTGCTCCCTGTGGTTTAGCTGAGGCCTGAAAACAATGATGTAGCATTTTGGCAGGAATATGCATCCCAGTAATGCAGTGCTGGAAGCCAAGATGGAGAAGACCTCCACGGCTACCATGGCTTTTCCCTTTGTGCTCAGATAGGCTGGAAAGAAGGAGATCCACACACTGCAAAAGGCCAACATGCTGAAGGTGATGAACTTGGCTTCATTAAAGCTGTCAGGTAATTTATGGGCAAGAAAAGCCACAACAAAGCTGCCGATGGCCAAGATACCCATGTAGCCCAAGACACAATAGAAGAAGAGAGCTGACCCCTCATTGCACTGTAAAATCATTTCTTGGAGCTCTGAGTGCATGTCCAACTCAGGGAATGGGGGAGATGTTGACAACCAAAGAATACAAATACATACTTGTAAGAGAGAGCATGAAAGGACGATAGAAAAGGACAATCTTTTCCCCACCCATTTCCTCATCTGAGAACCTGGTTTAGTGGCCATGAAAGCCACAACCACAGTAATAGTTTTGGCCAGGACACTAGAAATGGCCACTGAGAAAGTGATGCCAAAAGCTGATTGTCGGAGAAGGCAGGTCACTTTGCCAGGCTGACTGAGAAAGAACAAAGAGGAGAGAAAACAGAGCAGAAGAGAGACAAGGAGGGTGTAGGTGAGGGACCGGTTGTTGGCTTTGACAATGGGAGTCTCCCTGTGCTTAATAAAAGTCCCAAGTACCCACATTGTGAGGAAGAAGAAAGAAAGAGCTGTTGATGTTAAACCAATTCCTAGGGTTTCTTCAATATTTAGAAAGACCACCAGTTTCACAATGCATTCTATCTTTTCCTTATTTGGGTAGTGATCTTCTGAACATTCAAAACAGTCATCCATATCTGGGGGGGAAAAAAGTCAAGGAATTTGTCACCTATGCATTCCCGAGTTTTATTTCAGAGTGGGAGCCACATGTTATTTGAGCTGTTTCCAATCGCTCTCAGTTTGATCGTGTTTGTATGTAAGCACAGTTTTAATTCTATTGTATCATTTAAGATTGGCATAAAGGAGTGGTGCTCTGGCCTAGAGGTGGAGCTCTCGCCTCACAATTAGGAAGCTGAGAATTCGATGCTTGGTAGAGGAAGATATTTCTCTCTCTGGGCACAATGAGAATGTATCTGCTGAACAAAACTCCGCATTGGTGTCAGGAAGGGCATCCAGCCAGTAAACACTCTGCTAGCTCCATTCAGTTGGCCAGACTCCATTTCACAAGGGATTATTGGGTTGTTAAATGAAGATATGATGATTTAAGATTGGCATAGCAATGCATGTGTTTGTATAGGAAACATGACCTGTAGGCATCTCAATGGCAAGTTGAGTTTGAGCCACAGGTAATGAAATGAATATTTGCCCTGTAGTATTCATAAATCTAGTAATTATGAGCCACGGCAGTGCAATGGCTAGAGTGCAGTACTGCAGGTTAGTTCTGCTGATCACCAGCTGCCAGCAGTTTGGCAGATCGAATCTCACCAGGCTCAAGGTTGACTCAGCCTTCCATCCTTCTGAGGTGGTAGAATGAGGACCCAGATTGTTGGGGGCAATAGGCTGACTCTGTAAACCACTTAGAGAGGGCTGTAAAGCACTATGAAGTGGTATATAAGTCTAAGTGCTATTGCTATTAATAATTATATACATCCTAAATGTGTTACAGTTTGCTTAAGCATATCTAATAAAAGCTTCCTGGAATGTCTAACCTACCCATTTGATTTGAAATCTTCCCTTCCGGACATTGAACACAGTCATAGCAACAGAATTTTTTTCCTTCATCTCCTTTCTTCCAATATCCAGGGGAACAATGGTCATTACACCGAGAAAGTGGAAGAACCTGGTAATGAACATAAAAGGTTTTGAAAAGGGAGATCTTTAAAACAGTTTCTGATTTTTTTCCTTTATCGAGGCAGATAATATTTTATTTCCCAATTGGCTGCTGAATTTTATCATCATGGATTTATACTGTGAGAACCTCCGATTGTACTCCTGGAGCTTTCAGAAGTTGGACCGTGACCTCTGCGGCCCCACTTCAATCACTCCTCATCAGAGGGCTCAAAACTGAGTCATAGCCACCCTGGAGGGGTGGTGAAGTAAAGGGGGACTGCCTGGCAGGTCGAAGAGAGCTGCATCTCTCCTCCCTGACTAGGAAATCCCCCTCATCCAAAGACATGGAACAGTGGCAGCAAATATGGCTGCCATGAAGCTGAAGACAGTCTGAACACCTAAAACAGTCCTGGAGCGGAAACAGTGTGTGAACTGGGTGAGAGAATACTTTTATTGGAAAATGACCCCAAGAAATCTAAGGTGGAAGCATAATTAGAACCATTTGCCAGCGGTGAATATGAATGTTAAAAAAATATGGAGTTTTTTTTTCCATAAAACTTTTTAAAAAAACAAGAAAAAGAAATTTGAACTCTCGAAGTGCAAGATGTGGTATTGAAAAGACATTGTAAAACATTGGAATTATATCCTGAATCTTTTTTTTTTTTATTAATACTGCCCACATTGGATTTACAATTCTAAATAATTAAAATCAGAATTGTCAGCAATAACGCAGAGAGGCTGCAGCAAATTGAAGTTAGAGTGCAATCTGCTGCTAAAAGGAAAACTGTGCAATCTTGGGAATAACCATCCACATTTGCTGGATTACAAGTATTTGCTTTAAAACCATTGAACATTAAACAAGATCTTTAGCCAAAAGACCCCTGAACATTGTTGAACAAATAAAAGTGTTCGGAAAAGGTGTGGACAACCCCGTTTTTTAAAAAAATTGGATTGACTGCCTGTTGATTAGACATTTAAAATTTGTTTTTAATAATTTCTGGACAATTGGCCTAAAAGGAGAGCTGTTAAGCAACAATATAACATAAAATGGAAGCAAATGGAGATAATGAAATTGAGTTGATGTATCAAAACATTAAGGACTTCATAAAAGAACAACATAAGGAGATGATGGAAATATTTGATCACATAGACCAAAAGTTGGAAAATATAATACAAGGAACAATGAGCAAAGACCAGGACAATGAGGAAGAAATAGAGCCATTAGAAAAAATGGAGGAGACAGCAGAACTGAGAAGCCAGCAAGAAGAAGACAACAAGGAGGAGACACTAATAAAATTAATAGTGACTAAGGAATTAAAACAAGAGAAAAATATCTTAAAAGATTTAAAAAGGGAATGGGAGAAACAGGAAGATAGCTGGAGAAAAAAGACAGGGGTTAGAACAGACATCTTAAAAAAACTAGACAGTGGGAAAAAGTAGAGAGGAGAGAAAAACCTAGAATACATAGTCAAAAAATAGATTTAAATATATAGGAACTAAAAGAATCAAAAGAAGGATATGGGAGGCAACACCCCCCCGCCCCCAAAAAAAGAAGACTAAAAATTGCGATATGGGCAAGAGATGATGGATAAAGGAAAAAGAAAGCAAAAGTAAAGCAAAAGAGACTTCAGGAAAGTATTGTAATAATGTGCATTAATATTAGAACTATATAAGTTGGATAATTACTTTGTATGTAGTGTGATAGTTAAATATGTATAAAAATATGGCTAATAGTGAAATGCTAGAATTAAATAACAGGTGATTAGATATTGGAAGAATATATTTTAATATAAACATGTGTATTAATAACAGAATTTCAAGGATGGGAAAAATGAACAGAGGTATGAAGAAGAATTAAGTTATTAATTGGAAAATTAAAATTTGAATGATAGTATTATCAAATAAATATAAAACATGCTAGAATTAAATAATGGGTGATTGGAAATGAAAGAATGTATTGTAAGAAAAATATGTGTGGTAATAGTAGGGAACAGAAAAGAAATGTTATTATCACATCTGAATATTATAATGACAGAAGAGGGGAAAGCTAAAATAGAGATATAAATCAGAGAGGAATTATAGTATATATATATATATATATACTAATATATAACATATAATATTTTATATATTATATAATATATAACAAACAAGTCAGTCCTAGAGGAGATAAACCCTGACTGCTCTTTAGAAGGCCAGATCCTGAAGATGAAACTCAAATATTTGACCACCTAATGAGAAGAAAGGACTCACAGGAGAAAAACCTAATGTTGGGAAAGATTGAGGGCAAAAGAAGAAGGGGACGACAGAGAACGAGATGGCTGGATGGAGTCACTGAAGCAGTAGTGTGAGCTTAAATGGACTCCAGAGGATGGTAGAGGACAGAAAGCCCAGGAGGAACATTGTCCATGGGGTTGCAAAGGGTTGGACATTACTTCGCAACTAACAACAACAACAACTAATATATAAAGATATATGGAAGAGTAAGAGTAAGAAAAAGGTTTAGAACTGAAGCGAAGGATATGTGCAAATAATATGAAGCAATGAAAATGAAATGTAATAATTGTGTGTAATAATATGATGTTTATTTTTATTGAAATGTATGAATCTCAGGTATCTCACCATTCACACATCGATATGCAAAACTAATATCAACTAAAAAAAATTGGATTGGATTTATACTGCACATTAAAAAGGGGTTGAAATTACAAGGGTGTGTAAGTGGACTTGAAGAGGAGCAAAACGATTAAATAATTGGCATGATGGCAAGCTAATGTAAATGATACGATCCTTGTAATTTTTTATTTGTCACATTTCTATGCCGCCCAACTCCAATTTCAAATGGAATTGTAACACACATATGTAAACTTGGTTTTAAAATCATAATACCAGTTTGTCAATTTGGTAAATGAACATTTGTGCAGAACATGCCTTTTTCCCCCCTTTCAACAATAGACATCAGATTTGGAAAGTGACTACCTTCAATATGGTTTAACAGACAAAGATCAACAGATCATACTGGATCAAGATGCAATTTGTGCAGGTGATGATTACCTACCTGGTTAAATCCAGGGTGCCAAAGGATTGTGTTCCTCTCAATGACGAGTTCTTTTCCTTCTGGAGCATTGGACCTTAACTCGCCAACATTAACTCTCTGAAAAGATCTGTTCGGAAAAGTGATCATGTTGACAATGTCAAAACCACCTTGACCTTCCCTTTTGTCTTTAAAGAAGACTCTTTCTCCAGCTGAGTTGTTAAAAGAAATCCCTTGAAGAAATTTGTGGAGCTACTTGAAGAAGGATAAGAAAAAGGGATTCCAAAAAAAAAAAAATTGTTAGGGATAGAAGGATTAAAACTTCCCTTTATTTTGCTCTCACTTTCCAGGAAATGAAGTCTAACAATCCGGTCTTTTGACTAAATCACAAAATACTAATCAGAAAAATGAAATCTCCACATTTTAGAAAAGTGTATTGGGCACAAAGTAAAGAAACACTGCCTTCAGATGTTTCTTCATTCAATTTTTCTTGAAATGGGCTGGATACATTTACAAGACAGGCCAATTCTATGTGGAAATGAAACAGTTATTTATAAAACCAAGGATAATATATAAACCTCATTGGCTAGACTGAAATTTGCAAAGGCATTGGTTATTTTCATCTTCTTGTATTCTGTTACTTAGAATCACCTCTTACACCATCAGTTTTGTTGCCTCAATATTTGTATTGATATGTGAGTATAGACCATAGCAAACAAGCAAATAATCAGTAGTGGAGGAGAATGACTATTCACTAAAACAAAAGATAGGTAAAACATATTTTGAGACATTACCTGCCAAGGCTGAAGATCTGGAAATTCAAATCTTAGAATCTCTCTCTTTTGGGATCTTGAACTCACCGCTTCGTGCAAAGAATGTGCCACTGCATAGACAGCATTGTAGATACTGTAGCTTTGGCCAGTCATCTGCAACTCAAACAGAGGTGCAGGCAAATTCTCCAAATTTTCGTCTCCACTACAAGTTTGATCAGATATTAAGGAAAATTCTTCATTTGAAAATGAACAGTCAAACAATTGCTCCCAGACTTCTTGAAAAATTCCATTTTTGTGGGTTGAAGGCTTGATGCCTTGAAGAAATTCTTTGAAGCCTTGAACTTCTCTTGAGTGCACTGTAAAGGAAAGAGCCCCGTGGAAAACCTGGAGATTAAAATCTCTTTGAAATGCTGTCAGTATGATATCAGTTGGGTCCATCAGGATCCAAACCTTTCTAAAGGATGTGCTCTCTTTATCCTCTAGATCACATAGAAACACAACAATTCTGAGCCACAAAATTGTGAATGGTTCTCCATAGACAAGAAAAGCATTTGCTTTGTCATCTATCAGTTTATTACAGATAGTTGAGTTTCCCTGAAGTAATTCAGACACGTTTTCCAAGTTTACTAAATGTGGAATATTATGTGAGAAAGCTATGCAGATGCCATTCTGGGAAAGCAATGGCTGCAGTTTCTGGAAGAAACGTTCTCCTTTAATAGTGTCAAGAGTGACGACTCCTATCCACGTCCATCCAAAATGAAGAAGAAGTTGTATAACTCCAGTATACTGATGGTCCTCTTTTGGGACCATGCAATAAAGTGAAGATAACTTAGTAGTCTGGAACTCTTCTTGGGCAAAAGAGCCATAAGTCAACTAAACTAAAAAAAAGGGAGAGCCATTATTCATGAGAAGCAAGGGGGAAATATGGGAAAAAATGATTGCTTGCTGGATGTAAATTGAATGAAGGTGTCCCTACAGTGAAAATTTCTCCAGTTATTCATAGATTAGGGAAGATGATCAATATAAGCAATAAAGTTTCAAAATAAAATATTTTCTCACCTATGCAATACAACTGGATTATGAACCAAAATTAGCATCTTGATACAGAGTTCTCATGAACACCTGGAATGTAGCTAAATCTGGACAGAAGCTACCTAGAAGCAACCAAGGAGAGAAGCAACCTAGAACTAAGGAGAAATTTCCTAAATCAACCAATGGAAGAGCTTTCCTTCAAGAGTTGTGGGTTCTCCTTCACTGAAGACTTTCAAAAAGAGACTGGACAATCATTTATCTGAAATGGTATATGGTCTTCTGCTTGAGCAGTGGGTTGGATTAGAAGACCTTCAAGGTCCCTTCCAACTCTATTGTTCGATATTCTATGTTCTTTAGAGCTAGACCTATTGACCTACCTTCTGCTCTTCTTTGTAGCTGCCAGAATAAAACATTTAAGCATGAAAGGCTATCCATGAGAGTCTGGAGAAATGGAAACAGTTCAGTATGTTCTCCTTTACTGCTTTTTTTATAGAGATCTCCAAAAAGACCCAAGTGCACCAATCGTCCAACAATTCCAGAAAAAACAGTTGAGTTTTATACTAAACTATTTTTATCAGACCCCAATGAAGACATAGCAAGGAGAGGTACCACCTATTGCCAGATAGTGGTCAAAAAGCAGGTTTAAGGTTGTTCTCTAATTATATGTTTTCTATTTTAATTTTCTGATCTGTGATCATGATAAAAGATTTTGATTTTTAAAATTGCATTACCTTGAGCCAAAACACTGCATTGTGACATCCAATTAGAGAAGGATTGCAAAGTGGACTTCAGTGAAGTCCTGCAGAAAGGCATAGAAAACGTCTAATATCTAACATTCATTAGAAGTCAAAGTTTCTCTCTCATCCCCCACCCAAACTACCTGTGGAATTTTGTAGACATTTACACTTTCTGCCATATAAGATGATGTATCCGAGCCTAATCCTCCTATGATGGCCATGAGATTCTTCTGGCTATCACATTTGTAGTTAGGGACAAATTCCTGGGATTTGAAAAGCAGGTCCAGAGTGGTGCGATAGGTCATCCTTGGATTGAGATAACTATCATAGATGTGGAACCCAAGAGTGATGTTCGGTAAGATCTGGGAGTCCTCATTGATCTCCTTCACAGCAAAGGCCAAAGCAAGGACGTGCTGGTAGAATTTGGTTATTACACTGCAAATAGGTTAAATACCCCAGTTGAAAAATGATTCTACAATTCTTGTAAGGTGGCAACATAATATAAGAAGAAGAAGCATTTCTGCCTCTCACTGAAGTAGATAGCTTACAGGTTTTCTAAAACCCTCAATAATTAGTGCAGAATTTAAATATACTTTTTACACAATAATTCTATGATTTGCAACAGATGTGTACTACAACAATAGATTAGATTTTTTTCAAGCTACCACTTTTATTTTCTATCCACAGAACACTAATCTGAATATGAATAGATCATGTAGACCTTTTAAAAAAGTACCTTAATCTCAATAAATGTTCCTCAAAGGACTTCTTGCATACATTTTACAAGAAAGACTTTAACATAATATAATGGAAATTATTCCTTCTCCCACACCCAAATACACTTGAAAGACAAACAGGGTTAGATAACATTACAAAACACAGCATTTATGTTCAAACGGCTTTCATTTGTTTTCAGAAAGTTTTAGAGGATTTGGTTAAGATTAGAAACTGCATGGAAAGTAAAGAAAACCCTTACAGTGGTAAGCTATAACCTTTTAAAGACGGATGCTCCTTAAATTTAATTTCATAAAAGTGGTAAACAATGTGAGACACCATCCCACCAATGATAAGGCCACCAGACTGGTACCACTCATGTGGCAGAAGGAAAGCATCACTTGCAGGGCAGCTCAGAGTCACCACTTTGTTCATCAGGAATACCAGAAGAGGTAATTTCATGACTCTCTGCTTGGGGAGAAAATATCTGGGTCTATCATTGAAAGAGACGTTCTGGCAGAGAAGGCAGGAGATAGAGAATGTGTGGAAGTGAAGCCCAGAGATTCAGCATTAGCCCTTTCCTGCCTCCATGTGGCTCTTGAAATATTTATGTGGATTGTTTCTCACTTCCTATTCCTTTCTGCACAGAACTTCTGGTGTTTTGGCCTTCTAGAATAATGCAGTGATTTCAGTAATTCATAAGAGACATAATTATCATTGAACAATAGGCAACCTGACAATTTTCTTTATGTAGCCAGTCGACATCTTTCTTTTAGATAATGTAATGCATGACTGAGACTGAACCTGTTTTGAAAACACCTGGAGAAATAGCATTGGACACTTAGTGGGTTAAGAGTTGATATTGTACTTTGTATTTTTATATTATTCTGTACAGACGTGCATACTGGATTTGTAAATAATATTTTCCTTTGTATATAATCTAAGACGCTAGCATGCTGAAGGTGATAAATTTGGCTTCACTAAAACTGGCAGGTCATTTTCAAGCATGGAAAGCCACAATGAATCTTCCAATTGCTAGGAAGCCCATATGGCCAGAGGTGAAATCCAGCAGGTTCTGACAGGCTCTGGAGAACCGGTAGCGGAAATTTTGAGCAGTTTCAGAGAACCGGTAGCAGAAAATTTGAGTAGTTCAGAGAACCTGCAAATACCACCTCTGTCTGGCCCCAGAGTGGGGTGGGAATGGAGACTTTGCAATATCCTTCCCCCAGGAGTGGGGAGGGAATAAGGAGTTTGCAGTATCCTTCCCCTGGAGTGGGTGGGAATGGAGATTTTGCAGTATCCTCCCCCTGGCACACCCACCAAACCACACCATGCTTGGTGTGCCCATGCCCACTGAACCGGTAGTAAAAATAATTGGATTTCACCACTCCATGTAGCCTAGGACAAAATAGAACTTTGTTGAAGATCCTTCAATACCCTGCCCAATGGTTTTTCCAATGAAAAAGTTCAGATCTAAATCGGCACCCGATCTCCACTCTTTCCGCCGTGGCCTGAAGACTTGGCTATTCGATCAAATGGGCTGATTCTGATTCTGGGGTTTTTACTATTTAATTATTTTAGATTTCTAATTGGTTTTAATTAGGATTTTATTCTGTTGTTGTTTGTTTTTCAATCTTCTGTTCGCTGCCCTGAGTCCTTCGAGAGAAGGGTGGCATATAAATACATGTAAATAAATAAATAAAATAAATAAATTGGGGGGGGGGGAGTGAGCCAATCACATCAGATAGATGCCCATTTGAATGACAGAGAGAGAGAAGACAGTGGAAAGGGCCATTTTTTCCCTTATGCATTTCTTTGTGGTTAAGCCTGGTTTTATGGCCACGAAGGCAATAGAGACAAGCATGGTTTTGGTTAGCAGACAGGAAAGAGCCAC